CATTATTGATGCAAAAATTTTATAATCAGAATTTAATAACGATATTGGTCTACAATTTTGTATCCATGTTTTTTCTGTATCTGTTTTTGGAATCAGTGTTATATTTGCCTCTGACCAAGACTTAGGTATTTTAGCTTCAGTCAATACCGCATTGAAGACTTCTAATAAGTATTGGTTAAAAACACTCTGTAAGTCTTTATATAATTCAGCAGGTATTCCATCTGGACCTGTCGCCTTATTAATTTTTTGTCTATTTATAGCCCTAATTAATTCAGACATATTTATCTCCTCATTTAACATAGACTTCATTTCCTCCGTTATTTTTGGCAGCTCTGCCTTTACCAAATATTCTGTTATCTGTTCCGTACATCTTCCCTCCTTACTCCTATATAAATTTTCATAAAACCTCTGAGCAATACCCCTTTTTAGATTCTCCTCCCCCTGGATTTCTCCATTTTCATCTATCAAATTAGTAATCCATGATTTCTCTTTCTGTTTTCTTAATTTATATGCTAGCCATCGTCCCGATTTATTTGCATGCTCAAAATTTTTTTGGTTAGCTGCCTGTAATTTTTGTGCATATTTTTCTGATTCCTCTAAATTGAGTTTATGTTTAATTAAATCCATTTTTATTTTCAATCCTTTATTTCCGGGGTCTCTCTGGAGTAGTATTTCCGCCTGCCTATAGTTTGCTTCAAGCCTTATCTTATATTGCTGTTTCTCTTTATTTCTCTTAGCCGTATATGAGATAATAACCCCCCTCAAATATGCTTTAGCCGTATCCCAAAGATTCTGCAGAGATGTATCCTCGTTATCATTCACTTGAAAGAAAAGATACATTTCTTTCTCCATGCTTTCTCTGAATTCTTTTTCTTTAAGAATACCTCTTTGAAAAGTCCATCTTGACCTATATCTTTGACCTTTCAAACATAAGCTTATCGGGTTATGGTCAGCCCAGAGACTGGGCTCTATGTCTATTTTATGTATTTCTGAAATTAATTCTTTAGTGCACCACAGCATATCTATCCTGGTCCATGATTTGTGTCTGCTGGAATAATACGTATATTCCCCCTTTTCACGATTCTTCTCTCTCCAAACATCCTGTAAGCTAAGATCCCTACACATCTCAAAGAAAATTTTTGGTAATATTTTTTTTTATATCTTTTCATTACCTCTGTGCCTTTATGGTCCTTAGTTTTATCAGCAATCGTATTGAAATCTCCAATTATACAGAGACCATCTCCCTCCATATCTCTTAGCCTATTGTATAAATTTTTAAAAAAGGATACTTGAGCGCCATTTGGAGCATATATTACAACAAAAAATATATTCTTTTTGTGAAGCTTAACATCAACAATCAGAACCCCACCTTCTTTATCACTATATATTTGTTTCGAGGTTATCTTCTGTTTAACATATAGAGCAACACCCCGGTTTTTTTTTTTGTCAAGTGAAACATATAATTGACCTAATTTGGGTCTTTCTAGTAAAAATTCCTGGCCAGATTTCATATGAACTTCCTGTAACGCTATAATATCCACATTCAATTTGAGGAGTTTATTAAAAACCTTCCTACGTTTCACTGGTGCATTTAACCCTCTGATATTTGTTGACCAGATCCTATACTCCTCTCCCATTATTCAGCCTTTATCGTGACTTTGTACTTCTGGTTATTCTTATTTCCTTTGCCTCAGCTAAACTTCTCCCCTGTTCCATCCTGTCTTGACCGTTTCTCACACTTTCTTCCTCCATATTCTGTTCTATCCCTCTTTTCTCTGACAATTGTTCAACATCCCTCCTTTTAACTATCGTATCTCTTCCTTCTCTAAATTCTCTCAGGTCTTCCTCTGCAGTGCAGTATTGCCGATAAAAGACCTCCGCTTTCTCAACTGAATCTAACCTAAACCTCTTCTCTTGCCAGGTCACAACAATCCCTTCAGGTGTTAGCCACCTAAAATTAACATTGCTTTGATGTAACCAAGAAGTTAGGAAGAGGTAATTTTTCCGAAGATCTCTCATCCTCTTGGGTACCTGTTTTAACACAATAATATGTTTCCCTCCATATTCTAACTTTTCGTCACGTGTTCTGTAAAGTAATTCATCCCTAATCTTCTTTCTTATAAATTTAACATGGACCTCTCTTGGAAGATTATGACGTCTTCCATAATTTGTTTGCACTCTATAAGTCTTGTCCAATTCAACAATCATATCTTCTTTTTCTCTGTCCAAGACTCCTGCTAGCAACCCAGCCATCTTATCTGGAAGATCTTCTCCTCTTTCTTCAGTGACATTTTGAAACCTGAGATATTGGGACGCCTTCTCTGCTTCCAATAGTATCACCGCTGTCATTAGCTCTTTATCAGCCTCCATCAAATTTTTCCCCATCTCTTCCACTTTCTTTTCTTCATCATCCAGTCTTTGTTCCACAACCACCAATTTCTGTTCATTTTTAACAATTTGCTGCTGACAAACTTCAAGCCTGCCATCCATCGCCTGAATCTTCTCCCTCATTTCTCCTGTAACATTTCTAACTGCTTCCAGTTCCGTTTTAATTTCTTCATGATTCTTCATCATAACTTCCTGGATAGCCTGCATCATTACTTGTAGTTCTTTAAGTGGATTGGGGCTTTCTTTTACAACCATAACATCCAGTGATTTTTGAGTCATTGGACTGGAGCCTTGAACTGCATTTTTCTTCCCACTGCCAATCTTCGTTAAATTTGGATTACTTGCCATTTTAAATAGACTCTCCCACCACTTATTTTTCTTCCAAAATGTCCGCTTTGTAATTCCCTCTTTCCGTTCCTCCACTTTCACCAGCTAATCCGCTCAGCAGGCAGCCACAAATCCCAGAAACAGACAGAGTTCTTAACAAAAGTAAAAGTGAAAGTTACTTTCAATCCTTTTATGCGGTTTAAAGCGGCAAGTCTTTAACTCCTAACAGCCTGGTTCCTCCACGCCAGCCCTTTCCGGGCGTTCTTCCTGTCACTTTGACTCGCTGCTAACTTTCCACTCCTTCAACTTCTCTCTTTCCAGACATTCCCTTTCCACAGGTTTCCCTCTAGTGCGTCTATCATAAACAAAGAAAGGGTAAAATTCTGGGGAAGACAGTTTAGTCAGATCTGATTTACCGTTGTTCAGCTAGTCTCTCGCTTGCTTTGTCCAGCTGACAGTTTCAGCAGCCATTAAGGCCGTCTTCTTTCCAATCCGCTCGGTCCTGGGTTAGTCCGCCATCCCTCGTCAGTCACCACCAACGACAGAGCAGCAGATCGCCCACACCTTCGGAAGCCCCCACAAGGCTTCTTTTGATTCTAAAGAACCCCATGGACCTGGAACAAGCGTTCGGCGATGCTGGAGAAAACCATCCACACCGCCGTTCGCTCTGACAGCTGGCCCCGCCTCCCCAATCTTTTTACCATTTTGGATTGTACCCTGGGCCGTATTTATTTATATTCATTTTCCTTATAGCCAAATGGGAAATTATACCATTGTTATTTTTCTATTTGATTTTTGTGAGGGAGTGTCCTGAAGAAGAAATGGAGGAGTATGGAAACACTGGCAAATTATCTACCTTTCTATGGGCAAACCCATAAAAATTGACTGGCTGATGCCTGGCTAAAATGTATGTAAAAAGTAACTAAAGAACCATAGCCTATGGCAGGGGTCTTCAAACTTGGCCCTTTTATGGCTTGTGGACTTCAACTCCCAGAATTCCTCAGCCAGGCATGCTGGCTGAGGAATTCTGGAAGTTGAAGTCCACAAGTCATAAAAAGGCCAAGTTTGAAGACCCCTTGCCTATGGGTTTGAGAATTACCTTTTTAGTAACCCTGCTTGAGTGCTCCAAGAAAGTCCTGGTTACTTTCTTCCTCTCCTCACATTATGTTCTAAGGTGATTTTCAATCACCTTTTCATGTTGATCCCAAAGATAACTTCCTTTTTCAAATTCCAGTTCTCAGCAACATATTGGCTGCACATATCCAGATGAACATCAGATGGCAACATAGAAATATGAAATCATTAATTCTTTGTTGCCATCTACTGATCATTAAATAGTTGACAAGTTCACAATTTCCAGGATTAAAAAAAAAAGAATTCAATTGGTTGATAGTGCCAAGAAAATGATGGGATAACCAGAGTATTATGATGCGGTAGCCAGAATATTATGCATGCCCAACCGGAGGAGCCTTTATAAGAGAATTGGGAACATCAAAAATAAAAAAATCACACCCCTTAGATTGTTATGTGTTACAACTACAAGGTTAGCAGTGCAGGTAGGCTTATTCCAGATATGCTGGAAAAATATTACTTTTAAAAGAGAGAGTTATTTAATAATTTCCCGTGATTTTATTAGAAAAAAGTAGAACATTACATTTCAAAAATATGAGTGATATTGTAATATTGAATGGAAATATACTTTAAGGAAACATTCAGATACCAGCTATTTATTACTTGAATAAGTTATCTGCAGGCACTGGTGTGTGGAATTGAGGAATGAAATAATTATTGCTGTAAAGAAACTGTAATGCAGTATTAGGAGATTTAGTCATAAACATAATCAGTTAAGAAATTTAAAATACACAAATTCTTGTCAGATCAAAGATAGCTGACATATTTTTAACTTAAGTACCAAGTAAAACACAAACAAGTAAAAAACATTTTTCAAATAATTGGGGGGAAAAGTAGTTTTGAAAAACTACAAGACAAAATCAAAAGTTTTAAAATTTAATCCAACATTTAGAGAGCTAATTGAATTTTGGTTTTTCTTAAAAAAAAGTTCAAGGCCTTTACTGTAAGAAAAAAAATTAATGGATCAGCACGCAATTGAACAAAAAATTGCTATTTCACTTGGTCACCTTTTTTCCACTGAGATCAAATTAATTATATATATTTGATGTTTGGAATTATAAGTTTTAACAGTTCTGATTTTCTTTTCTAAACCCTGTTTTATACATTTTTTGTATCAATGATTTTTCTGTTTTAGTTTTAATCTATCCCATTTATATTTTTATATGATCTTTGGGTAAATATTGAACTTCACCCAGACATCTTAAGAATATTTCTAACAGCATTTTGGGAGGTTGCTGATATACAAGCAAACTAAGCTGTGCTGTTCTCCAGAGAGCATATTTCCTCAATTATATTTCCACTGTCCATGTGTTCTACAAAATGATTTTTTGTAAACATTAGTGCATAAAGCATCACAAGTAACTCCTTTAGTTAGCTCCATGTTTAAACACCAGGATAGCTGGTTCACAGCTCTTAGAACTTTAGAACAGATTGCTCCAGTGATCAAACAACTTGCAGCCTTTGCTTGGAACATAATATAGCAAATGCACTCACTGAGGTAGTCCAGTCAATCTTTGTCTTAAAAACCTTTCAGAATATTTCTGGAAGGGTGACATTACGAAGAAGCCATTGCTGTGAACGGCTACCATTACAATCCTTGATACTGGGTACCTGGCTGTCTTCTTCAGTGGCTTTATCCAGGCACTGGTTACTGTTCACATGCAACAGGATTAATTTCTTTATTGCATGTGTGGAGAATGAAAAAAGAGGAGACAGAGAGAGAAAATGTGTTAACCCAAAATTCCTAAATAAGACCAAATAATTAAGATACTATTAAACACAAAACAGTCTCTTATGGTTAGACATTATGAAGCAATGGAAAATTATTGAAAACATTTTTCTATCAAGTTTGTTTTCCGCATAGTCATAGAACAGTCATGGAATGTTGACAAGATGGACAACTACCAGAAATTGATGAAGATTATAACAAATAATAAACTCCCAAGTTCCCTCAAGAGCTCTCAGGGAAAGTATTAACGACCAGGTGACTGCAAAGAAATACAATCCTTCCTTTCCCCACTCCACCTCAATCTGGCCAGAATTATCCTTCCATCCCTTCACCATTCAGTCTCAAATGTCAGTACCTATCCTTCCCCCGCCATCAAAACTGATGAAGCTTCTTGGATGACAAGCGAAACATTTTGTTCTTCTTCCTCAAGGAAAAAACAGTCCAGTTGCCTTTTGAAACAACTATTAGGTGGATGACTGAGAATCTTCACAGACATAACCAATGTGTGATGTTGGGTAAGTCAGCAATCAAGCTGAGATAATTCAGCATTGTTTATAAAAGAGAGGTAGAAGAAATAAAAGTTTGAAATTTTACCTTCATCTGAAAAAGAATAATACAAGGGTTATCATACCATTTGGTATCACCTAGCCGGGGATAAGAAGGGTCTTTCATATGTAAAACTTCAATGACTGAGTAAGTGAATGAGAGATACTAATGTTGTGGAAACAAAACTTTTAAAATTTGCTGGTAGTCTCCTGGAATTATCAGCTGGTGTTCACTGAGTTTGCTGAATATAAGATCCCTAATTTTATATCATAGGACAAGCCTCTTAGATCCCATTAACTCATTAGGTCCACTAATGGAAGAAGATGGCAAGATTTTGGGCTCACTTCTTTATTAGTGACTAAATTAGTGAACAAAAAAATTGCTGTAAATATAGTACACCTGGACTTCAGTAAGGCATTTTGCAAAGTAGACCACAGCCTACTTTTTGGTAAGATAAAACAATGTAAAATAGACAGTACCACCACCACATGGCTTGACAATTGACTACAACTGCACTCAGCATGTAGATCTCAGCAGAACTACAGCTACATGGAGAGAAGCATGTAGTGGGGAACTTCAAGGTTCTGTCTTGGGTGCAGTGCTCTTCAATATCTTCATAAATGATTTGGATGAGGATTAGGAGAGCTCATCAAATTTTCAGACAACTCTAAGCTGGGGGGAATTGCTAACATTTTGGAAGATAGATACAAGATTCAGAAGGATCTTGACAGAATTGAGCATTGGGCCCTATTCAAGATGCAGTTCAATGGTGAAAAGTAAGGCAGGAAAAAAGAAATCCACATAGATAGAATATGTAGTACCTGGCTCAATAGTTCCAATTGTGAGAGGGATCTAGTGGACGACCACTTAAATATGAGCCAGCAAGTGCTGTAGCTGCCAGAAATGCCAATGCATTTTTAGGCTGCATCAACAGAGGGATAGCATCAAAATCATGAGAAGGGGCATTGTCTTACCTGAACGCCTTTTCTCAGCACGGAGATGGATAATCCACCAATGGGTTTAGACTGTATTCCTGCCCAATCAGATCAAGTCAGCCAAAGTTGCCACAACCGTCCTGGACCATAGATCCCAGTCTTGACGCAAGCGTAGCCATTGACTGATCGTAAGACGTTGTGGCTCATTAACTAAAAACTAACCCTAGGCCTAATGACCTGCAAGGGTGGGAGTGGATTATCCATCTCCGTGCTGAGAAAAGGCGCCCCTTCTCCAGCACTGGAGATGGATAATCCACCAATGGGACATACCAAAGCCTACTGTCCCTGAGGGTGGGAAGTAGACCAGTCCGGTGTGGCACTTTGATGTACAACCTGTTGGAGAACCCTCCTACCAAAGGAAGCCTCCGCCAAGGCAAACCTATTGATCTTGTAGTGCCGTATAAATGGAGATGGTGAAGACCATGTGGCCGCTCTGCAGACATCCTCAATGGACGCCTGAGTGGCCCAGGCCGCAGAAGTAGATGCGCTCCGTGTAGAGTGGGCTGTAACCCGTCGTGGAACTGGCAAGGACTCAGCTTGATACACCCCGGCAATGCATGCCCTAATCCACCTGCCAATTGTGGAAGAGGAGACTTTCCGACCCCTGGAGGAAGGGTGAAAGGACACAAAGAGGGCCTCTGATTTGCGGAATTCCGCCGTCCGTGAAATATAGCACCAGAGCGCCCTGTGGACATCCAGGCTATGCCATTGCCATTCCAGAGCATGCGATGGGTTAGGGCAAAAATCCGGGAGTACAATTTCCTGGGTCCTATGGAATAGTGAATTGACCTTTGGAAGGAAAGTGGGGTCAAGGCGAAGGATCACTCGATCCAGGTGGAAAATGCATAGGTCATCCCGGGTTGAGAGCACTGCCAATTCGGAAATACGTCGTGCCGACGTGATTGCCACCAAGAAGGCCACCTTGTGGGACAGGTAGCGAACGTCGCATGTCCTTAGGGGCTCGAAGGGCGACATGGTCAGAGCCCGAAGCACCCATGGTAGCTCCCATGAAGGGTACCTGTGTACTGTAGGGGGTCTGGTATTCGCTGCCCCTTTAAGGAATGAGCGAAGCAAGGGGTGATGTCCCAATGACCCCACAGAGTCACAGGTGAGGACTGTGGAAAGAGCAGCTATCTGTCTGCGCAATGTGTTCGGGGCTAAGCCCCTCTCCAGACCCTCTAACAGGTATTCCAGAATATGGGGAATCGTGAGTTCCGAGAGTGACAGCTGTTGACCGTAGCACCAGGAACGAATGTTCTTCCATGTGGCCTCGTAAATACAGTTTGTGGAAGGGCGACGGGATGCCTGGATTATTTCAATGAGCGGGAGAAGAGGGAGAGGCGGGAAGGCATAAAGCAGGCCCTGAGGCCATGGGCTCTGAAGCGCATCTGCCTGTTTCCTGGAGATGGAAATCGGGAGAAGAACCGAGGCAGCTGGGCGTTGCTCGGGGACGCAAAGAGGTCTAACAGTGGTAGGCTGAAACGGTGACAGATTTCTTTGAAGACCCTCGGATGGAGGCGCCATTCTGAGTGATCTACTGTCGCCCTGCTCAGAATGTCGGCCTGAGTGTTCACCTTCCCTGAAATATGATCGGCTTTGATGGAAGCCAGATTGTGTTTTGCCCAGGATCCCAGTAAGAGCGACTCAGTCAGCAAAGCCCGAGATCGGGTGCTCCCCTGTCGGTTTACATGAGCCTTGGCGGTCACGCTGTCCGTGAGGACCAGTACATGGCGCCGTCTTACCAGGCTGTGAAAGTAGCGGAGGGCTAGATGTATGGCTCGTAGTTCCAGCCAGTTTATGTCGTGCCGAAGGTCTGAGTGGGACCAACGGCCCTGTGCCCAAAGCGATCGAAGGTGCGCACCCCAGCCGAACAGGCTGGCGTCGGTCGTTAGCAGTATCCGATCTGGCTCCTTGAAAAATGACCCTCTGAGCATGGCGGATGATAGCCACCACATGAGGGAGCGCGACACCTGAGGTGGGAGTCTTACCCTTTGTTGAGAAGCACTGAGGTTCTGCCTCTGGAAAGGGAGTGGGAACCACTGCAGTTCCCTGGAGTGGAGCCTGGACCACGGGACGATTGCCCTAACAATTTGGAGAGACTGAGTAACGATACTGTTCGGTCCCTGTGTACTTGGAGGACTGACTCTCTTATGTTGTCCCGGCGTTCTTGAGATAAATACACCCGGCACTCCACCGTGTCTATGATGGCCCCGAGGTGTAACAGTCTTGTTGTGGGAACCATGTGGCTCTTGGGGAAGTTTACCGAGAACCCGTGATCCTGGAGCAGCTTTACCACCAGTTCGAGGTCTGCCCTGGTGGACTGAATGGACGATGACTGGATCAAAATGTCATCCAGGTAACATTGGACTCTGACTGGTACCATGCTTAAGTGAGCTGCCAGAACCGCCAGGATCTTGTTAAACACCCTGGGAGCCGATGATAGGCCAAATGGTAGTGCCCTGTACTGAAGATGACGACCTTTGTGGGCGAATCTCAGAAACCGGCGGTGGGCGAGAGAGATGGGGATATGAAGGTACGCTTCCGTGAGGTCGATAGACATCAGGAAGTCCCCTTTTCTTATGCTTCCCAAGATGCAACGGAGCGTTTGCATCTTGAATTTGCGGTATACAAGATGATAATTCAAGCCTTTGAGATCTAAAATGGCTCTCCATCCCCCCGACGCCTTGAGGACGACGAAGAGGATGGAATAAAATCCCCGACCTCTCTGGTCCGTTGGCACCGGTTCTATGGCCCGTATGTCTAGTAGATGTTGGATGGCTTCGTCCATCAGTCTTTTCTTTGCTTGATTCCGGGGGTATGGGCAAGAGAGAAATCGATTTGGCGGGTTGGAGATGAACTCCAGGGAAAGGCCGTGGTGTACGGTGTTGAGTACCCATGCATCCATGGTGGTAGCCTCCCACTGGTGGGCAAAAAGAGAGTGTCTGCCCCCTATGGGAGGGACCGACGGGGAGTTATCTGGAGCGGCAGAATGGGCGGCCATTCCCCCGAAAGGGCCGTTTGCCCTGCGATTGTTGTCTGGGTCTGGCCATCTGTCTGTCAGACTGCCTCTCCTGCCTGTCCTGCCTTGCCGGGAAGGGACGGAAAGGCTGGGTGTAGTTGTACCTAGCCCCAGCATGAAAGGACTGTCTACGAGGGTAGTAATTAGAGCGTTTATCCGATTTTTTAAGGAGTGATTAAGGACCTTGCGCTTGTCCTTATTCTCGGTGAGATAAGGATTCAAGGCGTCTCCAAATAGTTTACCTCCCTGATATGGAGCAGCTGACAGACGCCACTTAGACTTGGCATCGGCGTGCCAGTGCTTCAACCAAAGCATACGGCGACCCGTGACGCTGGATGCCATAGCCCTTGAAGAAAATCTGGCGGCTTGGAGAGTAGCATCTGATGCATACTCAATGGCTGCCACCATCTTGCTAAGATCCTGATGGGTACAGATATCCTCCGCTGGGACATGGGCCTGGAGCTGCCTGAGCCAGTGATGGGCAGATCTATTAAAGAAAGATACGGAGGTGGCCGCCCTAATAGCCCATGCTTTCGCTTGGTGCGTCCTACGATAAGCGAGTTCGCACTTACGGTCCTCCGCTTTGAGGGCCTTGGAGACATCTCCGGGAATGGCGGTGGGAGATATTAGGGAGCCTAATGGTTCGTCCACCACGGGTACTTCCACGGCCTCCTCCAGATCCTTAGCTACGTTGTAAAGCTTTTTATCAGTAGTACCTGGGAGGGGAAGGGAAGCCGGAGATGCCCACTGTTTTCGGACCGCATTCAGGAACACGGGGGAACAAGGGATGCAGTGTTGAGCTGCCACCGGTTCGGTGAAGTTGGGATCCACCTCCGAGTCTGGGGAAACAGTGGTTGTTGTTGAGGAAGGGTCAGGACCGAGATGGGCTGTGGATGTGGCCTTGCAGAGCAAGGGAACAAAGAAGGAAGGGTTGAAGAGGCCGCTAAATGAAGGAGTTTCGGGAGGCGGCTCCTCCTCCTCAGACATTGGCATTCCCTGTTCAATGTCCTGTGCGTGAAAGGATGAACCCTCAGAACATGTGGACCCAGATGTGGAGGAAGGATCGTAATAGGTTTCGGAAACCGATTGATGGACAGGAAGATGAACAGGGGCCCCTGACCTGGGAGTTTGCGTTCTGGCCTCAAAAGTGCTGATTGCCTCAAAAGTGCGGCAATCAGCAAAGCTAGATGGTCCTACGTGGGAAGGGTGACAGGCTCACTTGGCCGAAGCCCGGCCACAGTAGGAGTGAAGGTAGCCTCGGGGGTCCCGTGATGTGCCCGTGTAGCTGTAGATTGGGACATGGGGGGAATTCCGCCCACCCCACCCTGTGCAGGGGAATGGGAAGGTTCCCTGTCGACCATACTCCCGGGGGGGAAGTTGGGGGCCCCAGGGGTAGGTCATACATCAATCCCTCAGCCTGAGAGGTGTCTAACCTGGCTATTTTCTGTGCCCTTGAAAATTCCTTTCCGGCTGGCCTGCTTTTCAGCCCTCTTGGAGGTCTTGGTGGTAGATCTGACCTTGGTTTTGGTCGCAGTCTTGTCAGCACCCTCCAGACTAGATGGAGTAGGATTCATTAGAGCCGATGAAGATGGCAAAACGCTCTTTGAGGAAGGAGCAGAAGCCTCCATTCTCTGATAGCACAGGAGCACGATGGGGGACCCTTGGTATCTAGAGAGTATTATACACTGGATAAGGACAGGCGCACAACAGGGGACGCCTGGAATCCAACTAAAGCTGTTGCACGGATAAGGACAGACACACTACAAGGGGTGTCTGGAATCCGGATAAATCTGTTGTGGATAAGGACAGGTGCACTACAGGGGGCGCCTGGAATCCAGATGAACACTAATTGTATGGATAATGACAGGAGCACGACAAGGTATGCCTGGTATCCAATTTGGTAATTTAGTAATCCCAGTCAAGCTGGGTAAGTTGACTACGAGCAAGGTGAGACGGAGACACCAAACCTGAAAAAAGACCCTGGAGACATGTGCATAAACTGTGTTCTAGGTGAGCCTGGAGGTTCAGTTATATTGGCAACAGCAGGCCTCAGGTGGAATAGGCCTATTCCGCTCCCAAAATGGCGGCTGTCTCTCAAAATGGTGGCCTGCCTGACGATGGAATGGGGCCTATATGAACTTACTTAGTTCACCCTCCCCAATGAATGTCCCCTCTCTGAGGACAATAGCAGTAAATAAGAAGGATTCCCTTCCTCTGTAATTCCCCCGAAAAGAACTGATTATTTCAAAATCACGCGTCCAAAATGGCGGCCGCGCGTGGAGGACAACTAAATCCGTCGAGGTTCGAGGACTTGAGTAAGTAAGCCCGATGCAGTGAGAACGCTGCCTTAATAAACGGAAGGGCCGCGTCTGGCAAGCAAAAAAACCTCGAAGGAAAAAACGGAGCTTTTCGCCCCTCCGATCAGCTGCCTAAAAGCTGATTGGCGCTGGTTTCTTAGTGCGCATGCACGCCTCTGGCCGATAGATGGGCGATCGCGTGGCCGCAAGCTGAGGAGATCAACCAAGCCGAAAACTTGAAATCAGGGGTGGAGTTGCAGCTGCAACTCCAACGGGCCTCAGAAATGTGGGATTTGCGAAAGAAAGCCTGAAAACATAGAAGGAAGCCTCCTCCTTGTAATCAGTCACCGGAGCCGCCGCCGCAAGCTCCGGCAGAGAAATAAGTCACTTCAATGTGAGTTGGGGACTAACAGCCATTAGTCCTCAGGTGAATCCAGCAATTAGCTTTAAGAAAGTTATTTGCTGGGGTGAGTAAAGGGGGGAGGGGAAAAAGAAGGAGCCCCTTCTTTAGGATCACCTAGCTGTATTTTCCCCCCAAATCAGGAATTGAAAAGAAATTCTGAAATTCCTGAAGGGGAAGAGAATGGAAATTTGTTCATTTGCTAGTGGAAGGCCAAATTCTGTGCTGAATACAGCACTACACAGCAATCTGAAATGGAGAATCCACCAATAGAGACTGTACCTGCCTAAGAGCCAAACTTGCACGTCTGTCCTGGGCAAGATCAAGTCAAGACTGGGATCTATGGTCCAGGACGGGCGTGGCAACTTTGGCTGACTTGATCTGATTGGGCAGGAATACAGTCTAAACCCATTGGTGGATTATCCATCTCCAGTGCTGGAGAAGCAATAGTACGTTCTATACTTGCACTAGTGAGGTTGCACTTGGAATACATGCGTACAGTTTTGGTCACCATGATACAAAAAAGATGCTGAGACCCTAGAAAAAGTGCAGAGATGATAAGAGATCTGAAGATTAAATCATATGATGAATAATTAAGGAAACTAGGTATGTCTAGGCCACTGAAGAGAAGGATCAGAGGTGACATGAGGGGAAGTCACAGAGACAAGGGGACTGACTTGTTCTGCAAAGCATCTGAGGACAGGACAAGAAGCAAAGTTGGAAGGTTGTTACAGAGATATCATGCCTGGAACTAAGGAGAAATTTCCTGACGGTGAGAATAATTAACAAATGGAACAGCTTGCTGTTGTGGATGCTCTATCACTGAAGGTTTTCAAGAAAAGATTGGAGGACCATTTGACTGCGATAATATGAGGTCTCTTGCTTTGAGCATATAGGTTCCTGAGATCCCTTCTAGTCCTATGATTCTATGTTCTATATTCTATAAATGAGATCAGAATTCGTTATGTAACTTCTGTAGACCCTGTTGCCATTGTTAAGCAAAGATTGTGGACTATCAAGCAAGGACCTTATATGATCACCATTTATGTCTTCCTGCTGGCTTCCAACAAGCAAAGTCAATGGGAAACCTGGCTGGAAGTTGCAAATCCCAGTCATGACAAGCCCCTCTTTAGATCTCTTGCAAGCAGGCTGGCAAGCGAGTTTGGGTGAGCATGGTGGTTGAGTCCAGTGGAGAGGCAGGAGTGCAGGTCCTATAGTCTGAAATGTGTACGAGTGGATAGATGCTATAGCCCAGAGGGCAGGTGGGTAATGGATGCTAATGGGTTCCTACAAATGTGGGTGGACAGGTAGCCAGCTGCCTGAATCTTATACTCGCCCTACCATCTGGGGGCTCCTCAGGAGAAAAAGTGACAGGAGGGAGAGCATCTTACAAGAGTGATTTGTGATCTGCTTCCTCACTGACTGTGAGAAGCCAGCAAGGAATTCTGTAAAAGGCAATCATATGAAACTATGAAATAAATTGACAGAATGTCTTACATTAGTTTTCCTTCTATTTTCTATTTATAACCAGATATTTTCTCAAGAGTTGAGTTTGAGGCCATAAAGAAACGTACCACTGGATCATATTCCCAAAGTTGATTGCCTTTTAAGTGATGGCATTTGAGCATTGTGACTGGACCATTAAGTTTGGAGACATCTAAGCACAGATCATCTGTTCGGATCTCCTTGTTAGCTGTGTATGAGAAAACCTTGAGAGAAAACCACATTTGATTACAGCAATGATACTTCATTATAAAATCTGAGTATAAAACCTAATGAAATATTTGGAAAACACCAGCCAAATGAATCTCTTTTTTTGTCACTTAAAAAGTTTTGAAACAATGGCATTCATGAAATTTCCAGTGGCAATAATGTATTTTCAAATTTCCCAAGTTTGTTTAGATTTACTTTTTCTTCTATTATATTAAAAACTGTAATTCTATTAGCACAATTGTGCTGTTGTAAAGTATTGTATTATGTTTACTCTGAACAAAAATAGTACATGTTACAAATTGTGTAAAATGGAAATTTTTTTTACCAGTGTCTGTAGACATCAGAGATGACAATTGCTACTAGAAATACTAGAAAATGATGGCTATTAATTGGGATTCACATAGCTGAAATCTGAACTGCATTTACTTATTTGATATGGTAAACTGATTTAAATATTAATGATGCAATAGTATGTGGTTGCATGGGTGTATTTAAAATATTAAAAGTTGTTTCACATGAGATGGAGGTTTATATGGATTATCTTGCTGGAAATGCCACAAAAATATTGGCTAAATGCCCAGTGTTTCCATATTCCATAAATCAGACAAGGCTTCAAGAGAGCACAACAATACTGCCAAATTAACTCCGGAAACAATTTAAATTAATCTGGGATGGACTCTTTAATCTATCCACTATCCCTGTGGAGATTTATATCAGTGACTTGCTTAAAGCTGATCAGATGCTGATTGTCCATGAAAACGGATCCGTGATATTTTAACATAAGCTCCATTACTGATTATAATGAAAAAGGCCAATAAGATAAAGATTTTAAATATATCTGTTAAATTATTTACTGTTCAAAATATAATGAAAACAAACTTTTACATCATTACCTGATTACCACCCATTCCATGGCAATTAAAAATTCCAACTTTTTCATTTTCTTTTCGTGCCATATTATCTAGACATTGATTTGTTTCCGCATTTCGTATCTAAAGAAAAGTAAAAAAACCAGACAAATAGGTAAGATACACACCAACACACACACCCTCACACACCAGTTACATATTAACTAACTTGCACATCAGCCTTAGAAATTGTGAAGAAGGCCAATTGTCAGGACCACCTCAACATCTCATCCGAAGAAAGCAGAACTCATGGAAGCAAGTCCTTCCAAAAGGAACTTTTATTAGGAGAAGCTGATGTCAGGCATACTAGACAGGATCTGAGGGACTCCTGTACAGATCGATGGGTTAAAGTATCCCCAAGCAAACCCCAACCCATAGTTCATCCGGACGGTTCAAACCGACCAATCCCCAGGTATTAAGTCCATCGTGGGAAAGGGGAGATAACATCGGTCCAGTTCTGGTCGTAGCGCAATGTTCAAGCAGCTCTTCGCACCTTCTCTTCAGAGTAGAGAAATAAGCTAGGCTCCGGAGGTTGTATTTCTTTCTCCCCCCCCCCTTTCCTAGCTGACAGGTTAGGGAGAAGAAAGTTCAGAGAGAGATACAGGGCAGGAGTGTGAAGTGTTACATTGCAGCAATAAAGGAAGCTAAGGTGAAATGTTACACTTACAAATAGGGAAAGGAGGCAGGGAAGCAAAACGCTACATTGTATCAATAGAGGAAGCTAAGGCAATAAACCCCCGCTCCGTCCCCCCTCCCCTCTAGGAGTATGGCAGAACCCAGGGGGAGAAGAGAATGGAATCAGGAGACGAGAGAAAGAGAGGCAGGAAAGTATGCAATATGATAGATATGGGTTCTGACATCCTGCCCCCCTTAAAAATATGAGAGATCAATCTGTTGAAAGACAAAACAAAACAAAAATGGTGAGAGGTTAGTCTGGATTGTTCGGGTAGTCCATGTGAATTTTTTTTAATAGTTTGGGGGCTCTAACGTGGCCTTTCTGCACCCATTCGTTTTTGGAAGAGGGGAGGTACTTCCACGCTACTAGGTATTGAGTTGCTCCATGGTATTTTCGAGAGTCAAGGATTTCTTTTATTTCAAAATGCTGCTCCCCCTCAACCATAATGCGAGGAGGCAGTGGGATGGTGGCCGGTCGTAATGGTGATTGCTGCTCTCGTTTTAGTAAGCTGCAGTGGAAGATAGGGTGAATCTGCCTGAGGGTTTTTGGTAATTCTAACTCTACTGTTACTGGGTTTATGATTCTTTTGATGTGGAACGGTCCCACGTATTTTGGCCCTAGTTTCTTGCATGGTTGCAAGGATTTTAGGTATTTTGTGGATAAGTACACCGTTTCCCCTACGATGAATGGTTTTGGTTCGACTCTTTTCTTATCTGCTTGTGCTTTATAGGCCTGTATAGCTTCATCTAGTGCTTTTCTAACTACTGGCCAGGTGTTTTTTAATTGTGCAATCCACTCCTTCAAAGAGGGAATGGCCGGCTCGGTAGTGCTCAGTTCTGGCATGGGGTTGAAGCTTTGGCCCATAGCTATTTGGAATGGGGTGTAGCCTGTGCTGGAATGGACTGCGTTGTATGCCACTTCTGCGAAGGGGAGCAGGTCGGTCCAGTTCGTCTGTTGGAAATTAATAAAGCATCTTAAATATTGTTCAAGTACTGAGTTTGAATGTTCCGTACCGCCATTTGTCTGAGGATCATGACTAGATGACAGCCCCTGGGTGATCCCCAGAAGGGATAAGAACTCTTTCCAAAAGTCCGATGTGAATTGCACCCCCGTCTGATATTATGCGCTGGGGTACTCCATGCAATCTATATATGTGCTGGACAAACAATTTTGCTAAGGCTTTAGTGGTGGGGATCTTTAGGCAGGGAATGAAGTGTATTTGTTTTGAGAATAGGTCCATGATAATCCAGATTGCTGTGTTTCCATTACTTTCTGGTAGTTCTACTATGAAATCCATGGAGATTTCCCTCCAGGGGGCTGTGGGGTTTGCCAGCAGCTGTAGCAGTCTGGGGGCTTTCCTTTGCAGTCTTTTAGCAGCTGCGCAGGTTGGATAGCTGGCCACATAGCTCTCAATGTCCTTTTTCATAGATGGCCACCAGAACTGTCTCTTCACTAGATGCAGCGTTTTCATGAAACCAAAGTGACCCGCCGGTTTCGTGTCATGGCAGAGTTGCATAAACGTGATCCTCTGGGCTTTTGGGATTTACAATTTCTCTCCCACCCATGGCAAGCTGTCAATGATAGTGCATATGTTTTTGTGGCTCTGGAACCATTCATCGGTTTCTAGAACCTTCCTGAATTCTGTCCCTGCTTGGCTGGCTATCAGCTGCTTTAGTTTTGCCTGAGCTCTTGTGGTTACTTGCGCTGCCAGCTGCACATCCGGCATGAGCAGCTTGGTGATGGTTGGCTGGGAGCTATTGTACTGGGGCATGCAGGATAGGGCATCTGCCAGGAAATTCCTCCCCCCTGGCAAGTGTTTGATTTTGAATGTAAACTGGTGGAAGTGTTGTGACCATCAGACTTGTTTAGGGCTAAGTTTCCTAGGCATTTTTAGCGCTTCCAAGTTCTTATGGTCTGTCCAGACCTGGAATGGGATTTTGTTCCCTTCCACCTCATAGCGTACACCTCTTTTTCCCATACTGTCCAATATTGCTCTGTGTCAGAGAGTTTTCTGGACATGTAGGCACAGGGTTGCAGTTGCCCCTTGTCATTTTCCTGCAGCAATACTGCCCCTACTGCTACGTCACTTGCATCGGCTTGGATTATGAACGGCCTGTCTGGGTCGGGGTGCTTTAGGACCAACTTGGCCAAAAAAAGCCTTTTTAGTTTTTCGAATGCGGCTTGACATCCCATCGTCCAGGTTAGTGGCTAACTAGGTTTTACTGAGCTGCCCCTTTCATTTTTAATAAGTTCGTGATAGGCAGGGCTATCTGGGTGAAAGAAGGGATGAATTGACAATAGAAGTTAGCGAACCCCAGGAAGCTTTATAGTTGCTTTCTCGTGCAGGGTGGTGCCCACTCTAACACCGCCCGGACCTTCTTGGGGTCCAACTCTACGCCTTCGGTTGATATGCGGTAGCCCAAATAGTCAATTCTCCGTTTGTGAAACTCGCATTTGGACAATTTTGCCTAGAGGTTGGCTGCTCTCAATTTGTTCAAGACTGCTCTGACTATTTTTATGTGCTCCTCTTTAGTCTCTGCAAATATAAGGATGTCGTCCAGGTAGACGAGGACCCCTTTGTATAGGTGCTCCCTCAGTACCTCATTGATCCACTGCATGAAAACCGCGGGGACTCCCTGCAGCCCAAATGGCAAGACCTTAAATTGGTAGCATCCCATAGGGCAGTTGAACACGGTTTTCCACTCGTCCCCCTCCTTAATTTTTATGTGATAATAGGCTTCCCTTAGGTCTAGCTTTGTGAAGATTTTTCCCTTCGATAGGTGGGACAGCATGTCTTTCATGAGGGGGAGAGGGTACAGGTTGATTTCGCTTATGGCGTTCAAGGCGTGGTAATCCACGCACATACACAATGTGCTGTCCTTCTTTTCCCTGAAAAGGACAGGGGCCGCTACCTTCTTTGGGGAAGCTGGCTCAATGAAGCCCCTCTCTAAATTTTTATCTACAATTTTTTTCATTTCTCGTAGCTCCTCGGGGCTCATGGAGTACAATCTAGGCTTCAGGAGCTTTGCTCCCGGCTTGATTTCTATTGCGCAGTCTGTGGGTCGGTGGTGGGGTAGCTCATCCGCCTGTATTCCTCGGGTATTTCGGGCAATGCAGTTTCTTCCCCCACTGCTGCTCTTTCTGGAGGGCAGCTCTTGGGGGCTTCCTGGGGTGGCAATCCCATTCGGTCCCCTTTTGGGAACCTGAGTTCCGCTGTCCTCTAGTCCACCCTGGGGTTCCATTTCTTTAGCCACGCCAACCCCAGTTCTATTGGGCACTCCATGTCTGGGGTTACCACGAACATTATAGTGGTCCCCCAGAGTAAGGTGGAGCAGTAGCATGGCTAGGGTAGCTGGCATTCTCCCTGCTATGGACCCATCTAATTGACTGAAAGATAGCGGTTTCTTCAGCCTTCTCACCGAAATGCCCAGGGTTCCCACCAGTGTTGGGCTAATAAGGCAACGTGTGCAGCCAGAGTCTAGTAGGGCTTTAACCTTCACAGCTTCAGGCATGGAGGGGGCTAGGATAGTCACTGTCCATATGAGGGGCGTGATGGGTCCACTTACCAGGGGTTCATCTTCAGAGTGGTCGTCTGGCGAGTTGGACGCTCCCGCAGTGTAGGCCAGGATCTTTTCCCCGTTGGGCCGAGGGGGGGAACTTGACAGCCTCAGTACCTCTCATGGCTGGCTCTTACAGCTTGGCGGGCGACATTCCCGATCTCCTGGCTGGTGTCCGTTTAGCCTTCTGCTGTTTAGCCCTTGAGCAGCATTCTGCAGCGTGATGAGCCTCCTTCCCACACTTGAAACAGCCGGCAGTTTTCTTAGCTGTGGGTTGAGACTTTGTGGGCTCGCATGACGGTTTAGGGGGTGATCAGTTCCATGGCTTTCCCCGACGATGTCTCTTGAGTAGGTCAATTTCAGCTTCCTCTGCCAGCATGTACCAATCGTGCAATCGGAGTGGGTCTCCCTGGGGAAGGCAGGCATTGTAGAGATCGTAATTCAGCCCATCCTTGAAGTGGCTAAGCAGGATGTCTTCCGGCCAATTCAGCTTACTAGCAATGGCTCGGAACTCCTGGGTGTACTTGGCCACTGGGCGCCTGCCTTGCTTCAATGTCTTAATCTTCTCACGGGCCTACCGGTCTGCCAATGTGTCCTCGAATCGTCATCTAAGGGAGAACATGAATTGGTTGAAGTTCTGGAGCTCAGGGGCGTCGAAGTTGTGTAGATCCACCACCCAGTCAGCTGCCATGCCGTCCAAGGCTGCCTGTACGATGCGGATCCGAGCCTTGTCGGTCGGGATGTCTCGGCCATATTCTTCCATGTAGTTGAGGACTTGGGTTAAGAAGAACTCTCCCCAAAACTTCACGTCCAGCGGCGGGAACTTCTGGATGGATCGTTGCCCACGTCATCTATGGTGTTGTCCATCTTGATCAGCAGCTGCTGCGTGGCAGGGAGTGGGGACTGGCCCCAGGATGGCTGCAGTCTCGGATGCCCGCCAGACGTTCCTGAGGCTTCGGCGTCGGACTCCTCATCAGTGTCTCTTGTGCTGCAGTTCACGGTAACGATGTGGCCACGGGGCTCGAGCTTTTCATCCCTGAGGGAGACGAGGGTTGATTTCATTAGGTCGATCGCCTTCTCCAGGATCCAGTTCGACTGTTCCCTGCAATCGTCCTCACCTTCACTGAGGTGAAGTGATCTCTCCATCTCTTGTTTCCATCCCGGTTGGTGGCTGCCCCGCCTCAGCATCACCTTTCTCGAATTTTTCTCCCACTCGACCTTCTTGCCTATGCCCATGGACCAGCGAGGTTAGGGTTGGGCGTCTCCACCACCTCTTCCTCCGAGGTATAGGATGTCTCGGGAGTCGGACAGCTGGCAGGGTTCCGACTGAAGGGAGAGCTCCCCTTTCGCAGTGGCTTCCTCCTTCTCCACACCTTTGTTCGACATGGTAGGTGTTGCAGAGTCCCCCAGCAAGGTCCGTCCTTCCAGGTTGATTACTATTACAGATCCTGTCTAAGGTCAGGACCCACCTCAACACCTCATCCCAAGAAAGCAGAACTCATGGAAGCAAGTCCTTCCAAAAGGAATTTTCATTAGGAGAAGCTGATGGCAGGCATACTAGACAGGATCTGAGGGACTTCTGTACAGATCGATGGGTTAAAATATCCCCAAGCAAACCCCACCTCATAGTTCATCCGGACGGTTCAAACCGGCCAATCCCCAGTTGTTAAGTCCATCGTGGGAAAGGGGAGATAACATCGGTCCGGTTCTGGTCATAGTGCAATGTTCAAGCCGCTCTTTGTACCTTCTCTTGAGAGTGGAGAAATAAGCCAGGTTCCAGAGGTTGTATTTCTTTCTCCCCCACTTTTCCTAGCTGACAGGTTAGGGGGAAGAAAGTTCAGAGAGAAATACAGTGCAGGAGCGCGAAGTATTACATTGCAGCAATAAAGGAAACTAAGGTGAAATGTTACACTGTAGAAATAAGGAAAGGAGGCAGGGAAGCAAAACACTACATTGTATCAATAGAGGAAGCTAAGGCAATAAACCCCCGCTCCATCCCCCCTCCCCTCTAGGAGTATGGCAGAACCCAGGGGGAGAAGAGAATGGAATCGGGAGACGAGAGAAAGAGAGGCAGGGAAGTATGCAATATGATAGATATGGGTTCTGACACCAATTTACCCATCTTTTCTTTAACTACTTGATGACAGGGTCATAAGTGATCTTGGTTTTGATTTTAAAGTTCACATAGTCTGAGATGCATAATACCAATATTTTGTTTAAAAATCTGGGTAGAATCTATTAGAGTCTTTTGCTTTTTCCTTGATATAGGGCAACGTAGTTTCCTCACAGGCTAGCTTTCTGATAAATTAGCAAACTCTTTTGATTCTACAAGATATATGGAAGTCAGGAAAAACATAATTTTACTCATTATTGCTCAGCCTTTTTTAAAATAAAAATAAAAATATTGTTTTGGTTTACTATTTGTATTTAGTTAGCCTTTGTAATGCTTTGTATCTGTTTTTTATTAACATTATATATGTTTTAATTGTACGTTAATTTATATTTTATATATTAATTTTTCAAGCCGCATTAAATGAAACTAAGTTTGAGAATACAAACATTTTCTATTTTTGTTTATATTTTGTAATTATTTGTATTTAAAAATGGTTTGCTATGGGAAAATATCTATCAATGGCATGATGTAAACTTGGACATCTTTAATGCTTGGAAATAAATGCTTTGTTCTTTTTCTCTGTTCTTTTATATTTTTATCTTACAATAAAATTAAACATAAAGAAAGTAAATTTTGAAAGCTTACTTCAAAGCTAATATAAAAAGGGTGATATAATCCTATATTCTCCTATTATAGATAGACTTTCGCACCAAGGAAAAACTCTGTCTTAATCCCACTGTTCCAAATGTTATAATTTTCCACATGAAAAACCTTAGTAGTAGTAGTAGTAGTAGTAGGAGGAGGAGGATGATGATGATGATGATGATGATGATGATGATGATGATGATGATGATAATAATAATAATAATAATAATAATAATAATAATAATAATAATAATAATAATAATAATAATAAAGTTGGAAGGGACCTTGGAGGTCATCTAGTCCAACCCTCTGCTCAGGCAGGAAACCCTATACCATTTCAGACAAATGGCTGTCCAGTCTCTTCTTAAAAACTTCCAGTGTTGGAGTATTCACCACTTCTGGTTAATTGTTCTAACTGTCAGGAAGTTTCTCCTTAGTTCTGGGTTGCTTCTCTCCTTGATGAGTTTCCATCCGTTGCTTCTTGTCCTGCCTTCAGGCGCTTTGGAGAATAGCTTGACGCCCTTTTCTTTGTGGAGCCCCTGAGATATTGGAACACTGCTATCATGTCCCCCTTCGTCTTTCTCTTCATTAAACTAGACATACCCAATTCCAGGAACCGTTCCTTATATGTTTTAGCCTCCAGTCCCCTAATCATCTTTGTTGCTCTTCTCTGCACTCTTTCTAGAGTCTCAACATCTTTTTTACATCGTGGTGACCAAAACTGGATGCAAAACTGGTCCAAGAATGGCCTTACCAAGGCATTGTAAAGTGGTATTAATACTTCACGTGATCTTGATTCTATCCCTCTCTTAATGCAGCCTAGCACTGTGTTGGCTTTTTTGGCAACTACAGCACACTGCTGCCTCATATTTAAGTGATTGTCCACTAGGATTCTGAGATCCCTCTCACGGTTACTACTATTGAGCACGGTACCCCCATACCACGGGTCGGCAACCTGCGACTCTGGAGCCGTATGTGGCTCTTTGAGACTTCTCCTGCAGCTCCCAGCCTCCTCCGCCATTTGTAGAGAGAGAGAGACAGAGAGGCACTTGTGCTTCCCTTCTCTCTCTCTCTCTCTCTCTCTCTCTCTCTCTCTCTCTCTCTCTTTCTGTGTGTGTGTCTATAAAAAAGAGAGTAGCCTCATGCTGTTCTCGGGCAAGCTGACAAGCTTATTGGGCAGGGCTCCTGCCTTTGCTGGTGTCAGCAGGAAGCAGCAGAAAAGGCAGGAGCCCCGCCCAATAAGCTTTTCAGCTTGTCCAAAAACAGTGTGAAGCCACTCTTTTACACACACACACACACACACAGAGAGAGAGAAGGGAAGCACAAGTGCCTCTCTCTCTCTCACACACACACACACACACACATACACACTGAGTGAAGGAAGAGGACTGGCAGACCAAGGGCAGGAGAGAGCCAGCCCAATAAGAATGTGTGTCAGCTTGTCGGAGAACAGCATGAAGCCAGCTTGCCAGGTGAGCAGAAGATTGGAGGGAGAGAGGGAGGGAGAGAGGGAGACAAAGAGAGGGAGGGAGAGAACTCATGCATAGCATCCTCTATTTTTTAATTAAACTCTTCAATCAAACCCCCCCTCACGCACACGCGTGCACAAGTTTTGCAGCTCCCAGTGTTTTCTTTTCTCTGGGAAATGGGTCAAAGTGGCTCTTTGAGTGTTTAAGGTTGCTGACCCCTGCCCTATACTATACCTGTGCATTTGGTTTTTCTTGCCTAAATATAGAACCTTACTTTTTTCACCACTGAATTTGTCCAAATCCTTCTGTATCTTAAGCCTGTCTTCTGGAGTGTTGGCTATTCCTGCCAGCTTGGTGTCGTCTGCAAATTTGATGAGTTCCCCATCTATCCCCTCGTCCAAATTGTTGATGAAGATGTTGAAGAGCACTGGGCCCAGAACAGAACCCTGGGCACCCCACTATACACTTCCCTCCATGTGGATGCAGTTCCATTGAGGACCATACTCTGAGTATGGCCAGTCACCCAGTTACAAATCCATCTAGTGGTAATGCTGTCTAACCCACATTTTTCTATCTTATCACATAGTAGGTTGTGATCTACTTAATCAAATGCCTTACTCAAGTCCAAGTAAATTATATCCACAGCATTCCTCTGATCCACTAATTTTGTCATTTGGTCAAGGAATACAATAAGATTTGTCTGGCATGATCTGTTTTTGACAAACCCATGTTGGCTTTTAGTAATGACTTTGTTTGCCTCTAGGTGTTCGCTGATTCGTTGTTTGATTATCTTTTACAGAATCTTCCCAAGTATTGAGATCAGGCTGATAGGTCTGTAATTTCCTGGATCCATTTTTCCCCCTATTTTGAAGATGGGAACTACATCAGCTCTTTTCCAGTCCTCTGGTAGTTCCCCAGTGCTCCAGGATCTTTGAAAAATATAGTTCCGTAGTTCTGAGATCATATTTGCCAGTTCCTTGAGAACCTTGGGTATAATCCATCTGGTCCTGGTGATTTGAACTCGGCTAGGCTGGACAGGTGCTCACTTACCATTTTCTTGCCATCTTAACTTGTGTTTCTATTCTGTTTTTTATGGCACTATTTTTGATAGGTTGGTCTGTTTTTTCCCTTTGTGTAAAGACAGATGCAAAAAACGAGTTAAATAGTTCTGCTTTCTCCCTGTTGCTTGTCACCTTCTTGCCACTTTCACCCACTAATGGACTAATCATTTCCTTCACTTTTTTCTTGTTTTTTACATGTTGAAAGAAGCTTTTTTGTTATTTTTGACTTTGGTCGCAAGCCTTAGTTCATTTTGAGCCTTAGCTTTCCTCAATTCAATTATTTTATATACATTATATATTTTATATACATTATATCAGATATAGGCAATTAATTTTTCCAATGGGCCACATGAGAAAGAGACTGTTGTGGAGGGCCACTGGCCCACCACCCTGTCACTGCCAATGTTCTGCCTGCCATAGTTGCTGCCGAATGCACTAGGACTGCCTGCGGGATGAATGTAGCCTACAGGCCATAAAATGTCCAGGTCTGCAGTATATGATATTGTACATAAAATTGTTACCTCTCCCAAAGAGAAATAGTGTTGTGGTATTTGGGAATCAGGATAAACATTCTCTAAATACCAGGAAAAAGGTTTGCACTGTAGCTTCTGTCTTAGTCCAAGTCGTGAAGAAATGTCTCCATAATCCACCTTTGTAACTCCTTTAAAGAAGTATATATTACTGTTAAAGTCTGCCAGAGAACCACAATATTATGTTTTCTTTTGTACAGTTTAAGTGAAATATAAATACAGTGTAAATCATATTACTTCAAAACACCAATCTTTACAGATAATCTTTATAAAAGGACTCTGAAAAATTATAATAAATTGGATTTTAAACTGAATATTAGGCATGGATACAAATTTGGCTTAAAAAGTAATTCTTTAATTCAGCCTGTCAGCCCTGTCCTAGCTGGCTTTCTAGGAAAGAAAAAACGCTTGACTCCATCTGAAGGTTTCAAGGATCTTTTACTAGAGACAACGGATACAGCGAAAGCGAGGCTAAATCTGAAGAAAACCCACACAAATTTCTACATTGTTCCAAACCTTTAGCCCTCCCCCATTTGACTAGTTCATCAGTGTCCAATAGGATGGTAGCTGGATATTTTAAGAACAGGACACTTCAAGAAGCAGTTAATATTCCATTCCCAGGTCCTGGGCATTCAAAATTGTTTTCAGACCTCTGCTTCCTATTTGCAATAGTCTCCCCTTTTCCCTCCTTTTACAAGAAGCCCTCTTACCCCCCCACCCCCTCCCTTTCTAGATTGTGACAGGCTGCAACACAAGTGGTGGGGAAGGCAGCCTAACATGCTGCCCCTCTTCCCAGGGACATTAGTTCTGGAAAGAGAAAGAGACAGAGAGTGTTTTGTGCAGATATTAGTTATGGAATCTCTTGAGTAGTCTGGGAGCAGGCACATGCCATGCATCTACCCATTCTATTTCAGAAGGGGAAAATGTTTCCAGGCTACTAAGTATTGAACTTTTCCTCTGTGCTTCCAGGCATCAAGAATGTTTTCAACGTCAAAATGCTGTTCCCCTTCAATCAGGATGGGGTTGGACATGCTCCCGGCTCCGGTTAGTGCCAGTTTCAACAAGCTGCAACAATATTGGATGAAATTTTTCCTAGGTCTTTGGGAAGTGTTAGCTGTACTGTTATATGGTTGATGATTTTACAAATGGGAAAAGGGCCAATGTATTTGGGCTCCAGTTTTCTGGACCTCTGTCTAGATTGGAGGTATTTAGTGCAGTGGTTCTCAACCTTCCTAATGCCACGACCCCATTCACCCACGTGACCACACGTGACCCACACGCACGCACCCACGTGACCCACACGTGACCCACGCACACACCCACGTGACCACACGTGATCCATACGGACGTACCCACGTGACCACATGTGACCCACACACACACACCCACATGACCACACATGACCCACACGCATGACCACACGTGACCCAGGAGCATAGACATGGCTCTCCTGCTCGAGCTAGAGCGACCCCCTCAGCCGGCCGAATCTCGCCGCCGGGAAGGAGAGGAGAGAAAAGAATGGGAGAGGGGACAGGAGAGGGGGAGAAAGGGGGGTAGAATTTAGAAAAGAAAAGGAAAGAAAAAGAAACTTTTGTGCGGAGCCAGCAATCGCGGAGCAAGACGCCTGTTTGGTGTGGAGGCAGGCAAGCCCAGGTGCTCCTGGGCGGCCATGGCAAGCGGCAGCGACGACGCAGGGCGACCACCAGCTGGGCCACCAGCTGGGCCAGCCCAAGGGAAGTAAGCACCCGCCGGGCCCCACGCGCACCAGCAACCCTCCCTGTGCCCGCCGCTGCTCCGCTAGCCTTACCTTGGCCCCCGCACGTTCGGTGCAGTGGCAGGCAGACCCAGGTGCTCCTGGGCAGCCATGGCAAGCGGCAGCGATGACGCAGGGCGACCACTGGCTGGGCCACCAGCTGGCCCAGCCCAAGGGAGGTAAGCACCCGCCGGGCCCCACGTGCGCCAGCAACCCTCCCTGCGCCCGCTGCTGCTCCGCTAGCCTTACCTTGGCCACCGCACGTTCGGTGCAGTGGCAGGCAGACCCAGGCGCTCCTGGGCGGCCATGGCACGCGGCAGCGAGGGCGCAGGGCGACCACCAGCTGGGCCACCAGCTGGCCCAGCCCAAGGGAGGTGAGGCACCCGCTGGGCCCCACGCACGCCAGCAACCCTCCCTGCGCCTGCTGGCTTCCCACCTCCCACCCCTGGCCCTCTTTTACTTACATTTAGGAGTTGCTCAGCAAGGAGGGGTGGAAACGTCCAGAAAGCTCGCCTTAGCTGCAGACAACTTGCAGCACCGTTTGCAGACTGGGACTTTTGGCGGGCTCAGCAGGGCAGAGACAGCTTGGACAATTCCTATTGGCTTTTGAAAGCCAATAGAATTAGACTATTTTAAAGAGAGTCTATTCTATTGGCTTTCAAAAGCCAATAGATTCTATTGGCTTTCAAACGCCAATAGAATAGAGTCTCTTGAATAGAGTCTATTCTATTGGCTTTCAAAAGCCAATAGAATAAGACGGAGTAGCACAGCTAAGGAAAAGGGGAAAAAAATGGCGGACTGCGTTGTTTGGCGACCCCCGTGAAATGGTCGTTCGACCCCAAATGGGGTCGCGACCCTCAGGTTGAGAACCGCTGATTTAGTGGAAAGGTTGATAGACTGTCTCCAATTTTGAAATCCTTTGATTTAGTACATTTTTTGTCAGCAGTATTGTGTGCAGTACGTGTGTCATCTAGCACTCTATGGACCAGGGCCAGGTGTTTTGTAGTTGGGTGATCCAGTCAGCCAGGGCCAGGTGTTTTGTAGTTGGGTGATCCAGTCAGCCAATGAGGTGGTCTGGGATGTATTTTGGGGCAGCTCCGGCATAGCCACAAATTCTTGTCCCATAGTCACTTTAAAAGGGATGAAACCAGTGCTACTATGCAGGGAGGTATTATATGCTACTTCTGCAAATGGGAGGAGATCTGACCAACTGTCCTGCTGGTAATTAATACAATATCCTAAATATAACCCTGTTAGTCTGTTCACAGGCTCCATTGGTCTGTGGATGATGGGAACTGCTGAGTCCCTACTTGATGCCTAATAATTTTAAAAATGCATGCCAAAATAGTGAAATGAATTGAACTCCCTGGTCTGAGATTATGTACTCTGGTGGCCCATGTAGCCTGTAGATGTGCTATACGAAGAGCTTAACTAGAATGAGGGTTGAGGGGATCTCTGAGCAGGTATGAAGTGCAGCTGTTTGGAAAACAGGTCTGTCACAATTCAAATAATGGAGTTTCCTGAGCTTTCAGGAAGCTCAACAATGAATTTCATAGACATTTCCTTCCAAGGTGCCTGGGTTCTTGACACAGGCTGTAGCAGTCCTGGCACTTTTCCTGGACGTTGTTTTGCTGTTGCACATACTGGGCAACTATCCACATATGCCTCAATGACTTTTTTCAGGGATGGTCACCAGAATTGGTGTTTTATCAGGTGCAGGGTTTTCATGAACCCAAAACGTCCTACTGTCTTTGAGTCATGATTCTTTTCCAGGACCAGTCTGCTGGTTTTTTGGGGACATATAGTTTTCCTCCAACCCACACACAGCCTTCATGCAAAGTGAAGTCATTATTATGGTTGATAAACCAGTCATCATCTTTTAAGGCTGATTTTAGCACTTAAATTACTTGGTTAGTCATGGGCTTAGGCTGCTTTGCTTGAGCTCTTGTAACAACTGGAACTGCTATTTGCCATGAGGGGATAACTGGGCGAACAAGTTCTAGTTTAGCGTCATTGTATTGTGGCATTCTAGATAAGGCATCTGCCAAAAAATTACAGCCCCCTGGGATATAGCATAAAGGGGAAATTGAAACGGTTAAAGAACTATGCCCAGGGAACATTGCAGAGTAAGCAAACTTACAAAAAGGGGATCTCTCTCTCTGTCTCTCATACACGTACACACACATGGGAAGGTGGTGTGCAAGCAGGCGAGAGGGCAAACTTGCAGATTAGCTTTGTGGTCTATTCTTGCCTCCTCCCCTCCCTAAAATCCAGGCAATAATAAAACTCTTTGGATTGAATGAGAAGTTAGGAATTGGTGTGAGTTGAAATTAAAAGGCCGAGTCAACTCCCCCTCCCAATTATTTTGTCAGAGACAAAAATACTTCCCTTCATCTGCTCTTTTATAATTTAATCCAGCCTTACCCAAACTAATATATTTTGGGTGTCATGAACCACAGTTCCCATCATCCTGTGGCTATGCTGGCTAGAAATGCAATGCCTTATTTTCTCTGCAGTATGTGCCTAGGAGGCAGTAGGTCTGTGGGATTTAGATGTATTTAAACATTTGTTTCTTCTGCCTAATTTATTAAATCAACATCTAATTTAAAATTAAAAGTTTCTGAGAAATCCAAGGTGGTTTACAAGAAAACTCTCAAAGACAGCTATTGTAAAGCATCACTAGCACTGCTTAAAACAATATTAAAAGTGTGTATTTTAAGAAAGAAAAATAATAGTAGTAATTTATTTAGTACTGTTTGACCATAAAATGTGTTGCTGTTTATATATGCCTGGCTGAACAATGTGTTTGGAGTTGCCTCTAAACGGGTGAGGGTTGCACTGTTCATATTTTCCTTGGGAGAAAGTTCTATAATGGGGGTGCTGTCTCTGAGAAGGCTCTGCTTGTGGCCACTGTTCTATAAATCAAACCAGGGGGACCATCTGGTCTAAATGGATGGTAAACATAGATGATTAGGGGGCTGGAGACTAAAACATATGACAAATGTTTGTGGGAATTGGGTATGTCTAGCTTAGTGAAAAGGACTAGGAGTTGTGACATGATAGCAGTGTTCCAATATTTGATGGGCTGCCACAGAGAAGAAGGGGTCAACCTATTTTCCAAAGCATCAGAAGGCAAATAATAGATGGAAACTAATCAAGGAGAAAACCAGCCTAGAACTAAGGACTTGTGAAAACAACTAACCAGTGAAAAGGCTTGCCTTCAGAAGTTGTGTATGCTCCATCACTGGAGGCTTTTAGTAGAGATTGGATATTCCATTGTCTGGAATGGTATAAGTCCCCTGCTTGAGCAGGAGCTAGGACTAAAGACCTCAAAGGTCTCTTCCAACTCTTATTCTTTGAGAGAAGTGCTGCCAACCT